AAATGTTTATTGAGTGAATGGCCATAATTGGAGCAAAGCTACATGTCCTCTATCAGGTTTTAATCTATAAACAACCAAGCTTGCAGTAATAATTTTGGTGGCTTTATTCCATGGCAATAAATAATTTTGGAGAAGGGAGTAGAAAGACCAACCTGTCATCACAATAGCCTTATTATCCAATAATTAGCTTTTAAACTTGGCATTTCTATGAAAATGCTTAGCAGCATTCGCACTGGTATTAGGAAGTACAGGGGAGTCAATACTGCATTGTTGACAACTCAAAGATGTTTTCTTTCAGATAGCTTATTTATTGATAAGGGGCGAACATTATATCAATCAAATTGGGACACTCTTGTCAGACAGCTGGATTCCAAACCAAAGAAAGAGTTGAGCCTGAAAAGAACCTGGACTGTGGCATTCAGAGCTAATGACACAGTGTGTCCCTTTACGTAATACTATGACACAAATGTTTTATCCTGTATAATCAGAATAAAGTGATGCATGAAAACAGACTTGAAGGGAAATGCAAGTCACAAAATAGCAATAGAGGTATTAAGGAGTGCATGAGTGTTTGTGGTAGAAGATAGTTCTACCCTTAGTCTGAGTGATAGAAATATGTTACAGGCAGCTTATATGCTTTTGAACTTTTTGTAAAGCATTAACTGGAGGGTCTACTTTCTGACAGGGATACTTGTTAAGTCTCTACCGAATTACCAGCAACTTGGAATCCACCTAAGTTCTGAGGCCATTGCTCACAGCTGATTCTGAGGCCTGTATCTAACTTCTTGGAATTTAAATGCCTGGATCTTAGAAGCAGGATAATTGTTCTCTAGGGGACTGCCTTGTATTGAAGGCCTTTGTCTTAAGTAATAATTCAAATTCAGATTAAACATAATAGGTAACTAATTTGGAATGAAAAGCTTTTTATATTTTCTGAGGCCTGAACTTCCTAGGGACTTTACAATAAGTATATAAGATGTGTCAGAGATGTTTTAGTGTTGTCGTTGTTAGCTTAATTCCACTTATGCTAAATCCATGACAACACAAGGACAACCATATGTAAAAACAAAGTTAATCTGAGACAGAGGAGAAATCTCAGTAAGTCTTACATGTTAGATATCTCAAAATGTGATTCCAAATTGGATTTTTTATTTCCTTTTTAAGGAGGGATTGATAAAAAATAAAAGAAAGCCTGAATGTTCCAGGGGATTCTGAGTCTAGACTTCAGCTCCTTTTCCTTTTCCATTAGCTACATTTAAGTAGAAGCTCAAATGTCTGGGATGTATTGATTACACAAACACTGTAAATATGGTAATGACATTTTATTCATCAAAAGGAAAATCAACTCTATTTAAGTGTTCAAGGGTCTATGTTTACTCTTCTGTTTTGTCTCTTTCCCCTTATTTCTGCCAGGACCCCTCTCTTACTAACTTTTCTCAAACATTTAAAGATTTTTCTATTTTTCTCTCCTAAATACAGAAGAAAAACTGGTGGCCCCCCAAAAAGAGGAATTATGATGGAATAGGGTGGAATGGGATGAAATGAGGAAGCAGGATAGATGAGTTCTGTAGTGTTTAAACAGTGGTCTTTTCTACCAAACTATGAAGAATTACCAGTTGAAAGCAAAAGTAATTATAATCGGCACCAGTACTGTAACATGAATTAACAGAACAAAGATGTCTGGATTTATTGAATCAGGTTAATGGCTTACTTTGTTGCCTTTTCTGTAAGGATGAGGATGTACTACCACCTGCTATGAGTACATCAGACTTCTTAGCAGTTGTATTTCCTCAATGCAAATGAACAAATTGGCATTCACATTGAGGCTTGTACAGGTATGGTAGAATTAGTGGTAATCAGAAGGTTGGCTCCTACTTACATCTTAAAAGTAGGATAAGATTGCTGATGCTTACTTTGAGTGAGGTCCCTGTTTAGAGGTGTAATATTGGGAGCAGAAAGTAACAGGGTCTACTCCCTCTACATGCAATCAGTCTTGTTATGTGTCTTATTCTCCTAGAGTGGAATTTAAACACAATCTTTTTGGATGGTTTTCATTTTCAAGTTGCTTTCATATTTATCATTTTAGCAGATCTGAAAAATATCTCTATAAGCTCATTATTGCATTGGATATATGAGGAAATCAAGAAATAACTTGCTAGAGAACATACAGCTGATTAAAAGGCAAATCTAGGGGATCCCTGGGTGGCGCAGCGGTTTGGCGCCTGCCTTTGGCCCAGGGCGCGATCCTGGAGACCCGGGATCGAATCCCACGTCGGGCTCCCGGCATGGAGCCTGCTTCTCCCTCTGCCTGTGCCTCGCCTCTCTCTCTCTCTCTCTGTGCCTATCGTAAATAAATAAAAATTAAAACAAAAAAAGAAAAAAAAAGGCAAATCTAGGAGGAAGTCCCAGTTATCCAGGCCCAGTTTCCTTCCCATTGAAATCTATGCAGCAAGGTAGTTTAAAGATATAGAGTTTATGACAGAGTCCAATTTGAAAGATACTTGAAGCAAAATATCTCCTTGCTTATTTATATTAGAAAAACTTAATAGTTATTCGGTGCTCATGGTATGTCTAAGGCACTATGCTAGTTACTATTAGGGAGATGAAGTTTAAAAGAACAAATAACCTAATACTTTCTTCCAAAACTCTTGGTATATTTTGCAGAGAAGAATTATATTTCTGTGGCTCTTAATTCTCAGGACTTCTTTCTCTTAACCAAAAGTGTATGAACTGTATAGGTTTCAGCCCTTGGTCATCTGTTAGATTTGTTTTCTCTAAGATAAGCCAATCTTATGGCATTGGCTGTTACACTCCTCAGATTTAACTTTGGCCTCTACCATTTACCCATCTTTCATATTCAGGGCCATTGTTTCCAATCACCCATAAGACATTATTTCTTGGAATTTTTGCCATCTCCTTAAACTCAATAGGTCAAAAACAGAACTCATCATGTCCTACACTCCACACTTCCATTCCCAAATTACCTAATTCTATGAATAGTAGTAGCAACACTGCCCAGATACCACAGGTTCAAAATTTCAGGGACAGACCTGACTTTCCTATGCTGCCTATATCTAATCACTCACCAACTTCTCCATATCCTAGATATTCTTTTAGGCCTATCTCATTTTTCCTCCTCTATGAAGCCTTCTCCACTTAACCCAGCCCACTTCTCTCTTTCTTCTCTAAACTCATTAACCATTACAAATATAACACTGGTTTACTGTCTCATATTTTTATGTTCTGTGCGTCTTGTATGCCCACCAATATTGTAAATTCCCCAACGGCAGGAACTACATTTTACATTTGTGCCACATAATGTGTTGAGCTTAACTGACACTTGCTTAACTGGATTACAACAGATTTGATATTTTTTTTTCAGATTTGAGATTTTTAATAAGAACATAAGAAATAACAAAATGGATCAAAGTAGAGGTCTATGCAGAGCTAAATTATTTAAGGGATTATGATAATTAGCTTTCATGGCATCGAATCCACAAGATTAGATATGTTTTTTAAGGATCAGTGCCCTCCTTTTAATCCCTTATTAGCCAGTGATACTGCACAGGCAAATTTATAATTTTATGTACCATGGTAGAATCTTGCTTTTATGCCAGACAAGTACTTCTTAAACACATCAAAAGTTTGATTAAGGTAAGAGAGAGAAAGTAGAAAAAATGAAATTGATGATTCTGGGCTAGGAAGACACTAAAATGCTGGGTTTGTACTGGACTCAACCTGAAAACTTTCTTTAACCTATTCTGTTTGGGTTCACTGACTCCCAGGGTGATTTATGCTATTTGCAGGAATTAATTAGCTAGTGCAGTCATTTAAATATTATGGGGATCTGGGGAGCAGTTTATATTAAGTGTATATTAAAGACATAAATGTAGTACCTGAGGTCATTTATTTTCTATATAAACAGAGACCACTTTTAGTTCTAACTAGGCAAGTAAGGGTAAAACAATAGAAAATATTTTTGAATGATTGCAATAGATACTATAAACAAAATTATCTAGAAACAAATTTCGCTAATATATTTGAAAACTATGCAGCCTCAAGTCCTGGTTTACTTACATTTTGTTTTAGAATACTCAGTACATAAATACATGATGTCATGGCCTCTTTCTAGTTTTCAAATCAATCAGAGCACTGAAGGGCAGAACTACTAAATTTAAGGATTTTTCCCCCTTTTCTCTAGGGATGGTACTTACCAATCCATTTGTTTACCCTTGAAAAGAGCTGCTTTGCTGCTAAGTAGAATTATGCTCCTGGCCAAAGATTTTGATCGAAATGTATGAAGTGTTGGCTCTGCGTAAACCTGGTCTATGTCAGATATGTCTAAGTTATTAAATAGATCATGCAATTTCCTTATATTCATTTATAGTTGTGAGAGCTATCTATTTGCAGTAGCTAGTTAAAACTTGTCAATTTCTAGTTGTATGGTGTTTGTTAGAAAATTTGTTAATGCCTCTATTTCCTTATTTGCAAAACAGGGATCGTCATACTTACTCTGTATAAAATGCAGGATGTTGAGAGGTTCAAGTAGGATAATGAATGTGAAAGTACTTTGTAAATATACCAGGTCATTCTTCACTATTTGTTTAACTTTTATCAGTCACTATTTTCTTTCCACAATGAAGGACACCATCACAACAGATTAGAGAAATCTCACTGAGCCCTTAAAATAGGATTCTAAAGTATGTCTTATATCTCTAACTTAATTGTGAAGGTGCTGAAGGCTTGGGTAGTGTCCCCTCTATATTTTGCCACATCGAGCCCCTAGCAGAAGCACTGAGCAATAATTGTTGACAGACTGATTAGATTATCAAATATCTGGCCAATAAATAAAGGAGAGAGAATTCACGGTAGCAGCCTAATTGAAAGCAGGCAAGGCAGATTAGTTATCCCTAAACTTCTGGGAATTTGCTAAAATCTGCCAATAGCAGAATTTTACTACATACTGTTTTAGTCATAGCAATTGAAACATCAAATCTTACCTGCTACCTTCAAGATTGAGAGTTTGGGGTCCTTTTGCATTTATTCTGAGAAACAAGCTCCAAGTCTTCATTAAATCCAATCTACCCGTCCCTTGTAGAGCTAAACTTCTTGGTGAGCTGTACAGTGAATCTGAATACCCTGAAGGGCCTCAAAGCACACTCCATTTACAGAGTGCCTGTTCTTTAGGCAAGCTTCTTTGAAAAGATGAGTTGCTGCAATTTTCAAGAAGAAAGAGGCCAGGGCACATATGCTAGCCAGTGTACAGATTCTTCTTCCGCTTTTCAGATTAGTCCTCAAACTGTAAAGCACGGCTGTTTGACTTTTCTGGTGCAAAGTGGGGGAGGGGAGGGTAGAGGGAAGGAAGAAGAATAGAAACTGGAGACTTGCAAGTTGTTGTGTATATAAATAAGCTTTTATGCCTAGCTCCAGCAACATAATCCTCAGGAAATCTTGTAGCTGCTCTGAGATAGGAAGCAGGAATGAGTATACTCTGTTCAGCTTAGTTCTCTTTAATTTTTATGGTTAGAGTATTTGTAGGTGGAGAAAGACAATCTTACCAGTATATGCTAATCTAATTGCCATTATGTGAAACTTGATTTTAGGCAAAAGAAATTTCACTCCCCCCTGCCCCCTTTCTCTGTCTCTCTTTCCTTTATTACACTTGTGGCTCTATCCACATTCTAAAGAGCCTTTTTCTTTTTGGTGCCTTATGTTCTGGAAAATAATTTTCTTAGTTTGAGTTTCATTTCACAAAATCCCCATAACAGACATTGCCTCCACTAGATTAAAGGTAGTTTTGTTTCTGTCACACCGGGAATGACCTGGAATCAGTGGGCTTGCTGTCAGTGGTCCTGTGTTAGGAGTTTGGAAGGCAAGTAAATACTCACAGATTTTGACTAGGCTCTGGGGTGTTGGAATAATGAGATGCTCTGTCTTCTGGAGAATAAGGATATAGCAGTCTGCTAGGTCTTGATTGGAACTTGGGGTGGCACCTTGATGTTATGATGAACAAAATGGATGAGACCCTGGTGTGAGTTGATTACATCAATTATATAGAGTTAAATAAAGGTGGACTATATGGGGATGGGTATAAGTAAGTTCATTTTAACACCTTTTAAACATGGTCCCATAACTACTAATTAATAATTAATTAGGTACTCAGTAAAACATGAGCCCAGCAATATAGCCCATTGGCTTGCTACTTGCTCCAGAAACAAAGACATTTACCCAAACTTTGCATCTGTAGGTACCTGAATTATATTACAGGAAACCTGGGGCCAGGGAACTAAGAATTTTGAAATCTTCTTTTTGTTTCATAGAATTCTTAGTTTTGGTGGTTGATGGAGGAAAAGGCCATCCAAGTAAATTTAAGGGGGAGATAATATTTGGATCCATGACCAGACTCTTTAATCCTCCCCTGGGGAGTTTTACTAACTAAAGTGACAGTATAACTGGAATTTCTTCAGCTGAGTTTGGATTCTTAGAGACCAAGGGAAAAGGTAATAAGGGAGGCAGAGGATGAGTTGTCACTTCCCTTCTAGACTGGACTTTTACAGTCATCTTGAGCTATGGTGGAAAAGAAGTTTATACTCAGGTAAGGAAGAAAAGAGAGAGTGGTTATATATTTGATCTTCAAGATAGGACCACAATAGCTGTGACAGAGAGGGGATACCCTGTGCTGATTCTGTGTCTCCCCTACTTATCTCTTTCCTTAACTCCTTCTCTGCTTCCTGAATGATGGGAAGGACAGTGCCCCACCCATACCCATTTGGGTCTTTCCCCTGTATAGCTGCATCAATTTATAACCATGTTTGATATAATTGAGAGCATATTACTTATCTTCTTCCTTCACATTTCCATCTTTTATCCTCCTTTCTGTTATCTTCATCACATAATCTAGCATCTGTCATCTCAGGATATGGTAAAATGCTCAAACTGTTGACTCTCTGCTGCTTTCTCACTATTAGTTCCCATTTTCCCAGACTCTTTCAGTTCTTACTTTACTACTGAGTTGGAAAAGATCAAGTAGGGAATGGTAAGGAAGAGGGGAAATAACATGTAATTGGATGGGGGCTCTCTCTTAGTGAAGTAGGACTTTGGAGAAGGATTTTCATTCATATGACATTCATACATTAACTATGAGCCAGAAGATTCATAGCTTACATGGGCTCACAGAGCTGAAAACTGACCTTAAAATCATTTTGTTCAGACTTTTTATTCAATTGAATTCCTGAGGGTATCACAGGTCTAATTAATGATTTTGTCCCAAGCTGTTAGCTTACTGACTTATTTGGTATGTCAAATAAATAAATCTAGTCCAACTCTCTTATATTTCAGATGAGGAAACTGAAGCCAGAGAGAGAGACTGTCTCAAGATGTATTCATTTTACCACTAAATCAAGAGGAATCATATTTTTTTCCTTCCAGAACTGAAATTGTTTCACAATCAATAGTAATGACACTTTTGAAGGGAAGATAAAGTGTTACTATACTCATATCACACTGATATACACACATGTACGTTCATTCACAAAGACTGGGATACCCTTGATTCATCCTTTCATTTGAGCTTATGGAAACTCAGATACAATAAAAAATCAGTCTAAATACCATATGATTTCACTCATATGTGAAATATAAGAAATAATGAAAGCAATTATAAGGGAAAGGAGGGGAAGTGAGTGGGAAAAATTAGAGAGGGAGGCAAACCATGAGAGACTCGCAACTCTGGGAAATAAACAAATGGTTGTGGAAGGGGAGGTGGGTTGGAGGATGGGGTAACTGGGTGATGGGCACTGAGGAGGGCACTTGATAGGATGAGCATTGGGTGTTATACTGTATGTTGGCAAATTGAATTTAAATAAAAAAAGTAAATAAAAAGGGGGAACTTGATGTAATAAGCACTGGGTGTTCTATGCAATTGATGAATCACTAAATTCTGCCTCTGAAATTAATAATACACTATATGTTAACTAAATTGAAATTAAATAAAAAATAAAAAACCAATCTAGCTGTGAAAATATGGCTTTGAACACTTTCCCTCTTCCTGCCTCAGGTCTACCCCATGAGTATAAAGAAATCTGGATTATCATTTCTGGAGAGGTCAGGGTACATTAACAATTTCTGATAAGTTTGAATGAAACCTGTTGAACAGAATAGCATAGACCACCTAGGACAGATTGTACAGATCATTGAAGTCAACATCCCTACATTATTCTTGCTGTTCAATATGGTAGCCACTAGCCATGTGTGGTTATTTAAAATAAACTGTAAATTAATAAAACAATAAAATAAAATAAAATAAAATAAAATAAAATAATTCTGTCCTTCAATTACACTAGCCACCTTCGAGTTACTCATGGCCACATGTTATCCAGTGCATTGAACATCAAGGATTTATTTATTTTTTTAAAAATTTTTTTAAATTTATTTATGATAGTCACACACACACACACAGAGAGAGAGGCAGAGACACAGGCAGAGGGATAAGCAGGCTCCATGCACCGGGAGCCCGACGTGGGACTTGATTCCGGGTCTCCAGGATCGTGCGCTGGGCCAAAGGCAGGTGCCAAACTGCTGCGCCACCCAGGGATCCCCAACATCAAGGATTTAAAATAGATTTTAATCATAATCAATGATGACAAACTGGGACCTTCTCCCATAAAGTTAAGAACAAGATAAAGATGTCTACTCTCACCACTTTTATTTTTTTCATTTATTTTTTTTCATTCGATTTTATTTAACTTCGATTTGCCAACATGTAGTATAACACCCAGTGCTCATCCCATCAAGTGCCCTCCCTAGTGCCCGTCAACCAGTTACCTCAACCTCCTGCCTACCTTCCCTTCTGCAACCCTTTGTTTCCCAGAGTTAGGAGTCTCTCATGTTTTGTCTCCCTATTTTTTCCCACTCAGTTCCCCTCCTTTCCATTATAATACCTTTATTTCTTATATTAGCCGTATGAGTGAAACCATAAGATGATGGTCTTTCTCTGATTGACTTATTTCATTCAGCATAATACTCTTCAGTTCTATCCACATCAAAGCAAATGGTGAATATTCATCCTTTCTAATGGCTGAGTAATATTCCATTGTATACATAGACCACATGTCCTTTATCCATTCATCTGTCGAAGGGCATCATGGTTCCTTCTACAGTTTGGCTATTGTGGACGTTCCTGCTATGAACAATGGGGTGCAGGTATCCTAGCATTTCACTACATCTGTATCTTTGGGGTAGATACCCAGTAGTGCAATTGCTGGGTCATACGGTAGTTCTATTTTTAAGTTTTTGAGGAACCTCCACACTGTTTTCCAGAGTAGCTGTACCAATTTGCATTCCCACCAACATGCAAGAGGGTTCTTCTTGCTCCACATCCTCTCTACCATTTGATGTTTCCTGTCTTGTTAATTTTCACCATTCTCACTGGTGTGAGGTGGTATCTCATTATGGTTTTGATTTGTATTTCCCCGATGGCAAGTGATGTGTAGCATTTTCTCATGTGCTTGTTGGCCATGCATAGGTCTTCTTTGGTGAAATGTCTGCTCATGTCTTCTTCACATTTCATGACTGGATTGTTTGTTTCTTGGGTGTTGAATTTAGTAAATTCTTTATAGATCTTGGATACTAGCCTTTTATCTGATATGTCATTTGCAAATATCTTCTTCCATCCTGTCTTTTAATATTATTGACTATGTCTCTTGCTGTGCAGAAGCTTTTTCTCCTGATTAAGTCCCAATTGTTCACTTTCGCTTTTGTTTCCTTTGCCTTTAAAGCTGTATCCTGCAAGAAGTTACTGTGGGGAAGGTTCAAAATCCTCTAGGATTTATTATTTATTTATTATTTATTATTTATTTTTTGTATATTTTTTCATTGGAGTTCAATTTGCCAACATATAGCATAACACCCAGTGCTCATCTCGTCAAGTGCCCCCCTCAGTGCCTGTCACCCAGTCACCCCATCCCCGGCCCACCTCCCCTTCTGTTACCCCTAGTTCATTTCCTGGAGTTAGGAGTCTCTCACGTTTGTCACCCTCTCTGATATTTCCCACTCATGTAAGATTTTGATTGATTCTTCTCTCACATTTAGATATTTCATCCATTTTGAGTTTATCTTTGTATATGGTATAAGAGAATGATCTAGTTTAATTCCTCTGCATGTGGC